GCCCCCAAACAACAGGAAGCAGTCTAGAGAATATACCATCCACATTCCCAAGAGATGGGGTGGGTGATTTTTAGTCATTTGGTGGGTTATAGGTGTTTGTCATTGTTTAAGGGGGTTGGTTACAAATTGTTATTAGTCATGGTAAAAAAAAAAAAAAAACTAAACAAAGGAGATTAGATACAGGGATCTCATTCTGAAAAGAAAAAGGGGTGACATAGAAATGATAGGATAAAAGGGCAGATTATTGAATCTACTTTTAAACTAAAAAGCAACTACTAGTCTCACTGTACATTATTATGGATCTTTGTATACTGATACAAATTTAAGACTATTTTTGTTATACTGTATTATATGTTTCTATTTCTTAAAATATTGTATCTATACAGCTCATTTATAAATGCAATGTAAAGTTCTAGTCCTTGAAAGCAATTTAGGAAAATAAGGAAATAGACATATGTAGTTACTCAGTCATTTATAGTAACCACTTACAGTCATGTTTGGTATACTTTAAAGGTCAGAGACATATTTTAAATAGTCTTCAAACACTTCATATGCCTACATGGCATTTTAATGTTTTAATAATATGGCTTTTTATGACAGTGAGACATTGCTGTTCTTGGTAGCATCAATCTACTTCATAAGAGTCTACTTCATGAAAGGATGGTGGGCATTGAAGAACCTCCATATGGAGTTTGCCTTCTTTGTGGTAAAAGATAGCCAGCTGGGCAAGAAACTGCCCTTACCTCAACTGCTGACATTATGATGTCCAAACTGGATAAGCAGGACACAAAAGCAAAAGCCAGGTGGGTGGCCTTTAATCCCAGCAATCCAGAAGCAAAGGCAGGTGGATCTCTGTGAGTTCGAGGCCAGCCTGTGGTCTACAAAGTGAGTTCCAGGACAGACTCTAAAGCTACACAGAGAAACCCTGTCTAGAGAAACAACAACCAAAAAGCAACCAAAAAACCAAAAACGTAACTATTGAACTTGGTCAAGCCAGGGTAGGACAGTCCTTCAAAAGTTCCTGCTTTAAGCCAGGCGTTGGTGGTACATGCCTTTAATCCCAGCACTCGGGAGGCAGAGGCAGGTGGATCTCTTCTGAGTTCAAGGCCAGCCTGGTCTACAGAGCGAGATCCAGGACAGCCTCCAAAACAATACAGAGTAACCCTGTCTCGAAGAAAAAAAAAGTTCCTATTTTTTTTCTGGGACCATAGGCTGAAGATGGGTGCCCCAATGTTAAAGAGGAACCCTGGGGTGACTGTTTTTGTCATTTCTCTTAGTTTTGGAAGTTGCTTTCCCTGCAATTCCTGTTACTCAAGTAATATTTCATCCTTCTTGGGTCTCTAATGGAGATTGAAGACTAGGTGGTCATAGTTTTCTTAGTTACTAAATTAAAAAAAAAAAACTTACCAGACATAAAGTTTATAAAGTAGAGGAATATAAAGCTGAAGCTGCTTATTTAAAAAGATGTTTTAAGGTCAAAAAAAGTTATTTTTAGGATGATAATACAAGTTATGACAAAAATGGTTTAGGAATAAAACTTTGGATCAAGATAGGAGAAATAATACAGTACTTTCTGTAAATTTGCCAAATAAAAAAGGAGTGGACATTGTGAATTCTTAACTGAAAATTGTTCTTATTGTTCTACTGTGTTAGAGTTAAAGCCGTTTCTGTTTATTTAGACAAAAATGGTGTGGGTGTGCATTTGTTGTGGAACAATCTTTTTGTACACTGTGAAGACATGTCACTCTGGTTGGTTTAATGAAGAGCTGAATGGCCAATAGCTAGGATTTCCAGGCACAGAGGTTGCTGGGAAGGACGGAGACATGAAGAGATGCAGAGAAGTAGGAAATGTAGGAGATGAGGTAACAAGCCATGAGCCATGTAGCAACACATAAATTAATAGAAATGGGTCAATTTAAGTTATAAGAGCTAGTTAGAAACAAGTCTAAGCTATTGGTCAAGCTTTCATAACTAGTGACAAGTCTTCATGTGGTCATTTGGGAGCTGGATGACAGGACAGAGAAAGACTCCCTATAAGATTTGACTACAGAGTGAGTTTCAGGACAACTAGGGTTACACAGAGAATCCTGGTCTCAAAAAATTTAAGGAGATAAAAGAAACAAATAGGCAGACAACAAAGATTACCCTTATACTGATTCTTTTCACTACTTTGTACATTTAAAACACAAGACAAATATCTTAGAAGAAACACCAATGGTTTCAAGAAGAAGAAGAAGCACAAAGCCAAGACCTCTGAGTTGGTGGGCAGGAAGAGAGCACGGAGACGAAGATCAGCCTTCCAGGAGTACCTCCTCCATTGTCAGCACTACACACTCGAACCTTGTGCAGGACCAATGTACCAAACCAAACCAGTAAAAGCTTCATCTTACCTGAACAAGATAGCGTGGATCCACATTTAAATATGGTGACAGGGGGTTCATACCAGTTACTAGAGAGAAAACAAAATGTCATATCACAAAATTCTTTAAACTATTTCCTATAGAATTGATTCAGCCAATTGTTACACGTCTTGAAATTCAATGAATGTGAAATTGTCTTGAGGTCTTGCACTGATGCCCTACACTTTCATAAGATTTTGGCACTAACAGGTCAAATCATGACACTCCCAGGAAATTAGCTTAGGCTGTTATTACTGTTTTGGTTTATTTTTAACTTTTTACACTTACTGGTTCACTTGTGAGCTTGTGTGTCCCTCCCTGTACGCGCGAGTGTGTGTGGAGGTCCCATAGGCGTCCCTTCCATTAACCAGTCTGGTCTAGGAATCCAACTCAGGTCACCAGGCTTGGCAGAAAGTGCCCATACCCACATACTCTCCCAGACCATGTATAAAAGTGGTTTCTTTAACTAACAAAAAAAAAAAAAAAAAATCAAGCAAATTGCAAAGAATAATCAGTCTCTCGGGGAAAACAGTGGTTGTGCTGGGTGGTTTTGACTTTGGATAAGTGTATCAAGGTACTTCCGTCAGATCACACTAAGAATTTTGCTAACAGTGTCTCTGTATTATGGCAAGGAGAATCCTTGGTTTTTACCAAAGGATGAAGCTTAATCCAAAGGGATGAAGCTTAATGGAAAAGAAGGTACAAACTTTCAGAGGGTTAAACTTTAAATCTACCAACTTCAGGGGGGGAAAATCTAGCAAGAAAAATTAATTTTCACAGATTTAGAATCTAGTATTTGGGTCCTCCTGCATCTCAGTTGATAGTGATGGTTCACAAATGTATGCACGCACCATGACTCCTGTTGCTTCAGTTTTTCCATTGTTATACCTAGCACCCCAGTGCAAGCATCACACCTCATACCAACAGCTTAACTAACTTTCTCTTATGCCTTCAACTCACTCGGTAGAAACTAGGAAACTAACCATAACGGCTCCCATCTACACTTCAGATCAAGTCCAAACCCCTTACCCTTGCTCACGATAGCTTGCATTTGCTATTTCCTGCCTCTCTGTTCTTATAATCAATGGTCTATCACTTTACTCCCTCGCAACTCTAAAGACACATGGACCTAATAGCTGTCCAAGTAACAGGTCAAGTTTGTTCTGTCTCTCAAACGTTTGTTGCTAAATTCGGCCCACAGCTCAGATGTCAACTCCCAAGCTGTTTTCCCTGATCTGTTTTCCAACAGCCTCCTCCCCCCACCATCATTCTCGGGGTCCAATTGTATTTCCTTCATGACATCTATCCCTAACTGCAGTGTTTTTATGTTATGGGGCTCGCCTCAGCAGAATGCATGCACCATAGAAGCAATAACTACTGTGTCACATCAAGCAGCGCCCTTCACTCCATGCAAACAACACTTGAGACCCACACGAACATTGTTCCGGCCTCAGTTTTGACAGTAGACATTAGGGTCGTCAGAGGGCTTTTCTTTTTTATGTTCTTAGGTACAAAGGATTTAGAGAAGCAGTACTACAAGGATTGGTAAGAACAAACACCTACTCTAACAAAGGCCATTCACCATCAACTCCCCATTATCTTCAGGCCCAAGTTCTATGTATCAGGCCCGAGTATCTACAACTACCAAACCTCAAAAGCCTGAAATACGTATTTATGGGATTGAGGAGGGTCAACAGGCCGGATAAATTCATGCCTCCGTATCTTCGCATTTGCTTATTTCCCTTCCCGAATTTGTTTTGCTTCTTTTCTTGCTCATAAATCTCTTAAGGCTGAGCTCACTTTCCAGCTCCTTCTGGTTTGCTGAATTGTCCCAAAACGGGGGTTTTCCCCTAACCGACACTTAGAATTTAGAAATATTTGGAGGCCGTGTTAAAAAAAAATTGTTAACTATGGGCTGGTCGATGGAATACGTTTATTTCCAGAACTAGAGTCTCCCAACTCAGGGTCAAGCACACAGGCGAGCGTGCGACGAGAGACAAGAAGGGACAAGGGTGCTACAGACATCTTGTGTTTCCTCCCGAAACTAGGCCAGTGCAACGAGCTTCGGTGCCTGACCCCCCCCCCCCAGTTCTCCCACTCGTTCAGTCCTGCAGCCCCATCGCTGAGGGTGAACCCTGTGAATGCGAGCGAGAAAGGGGAACAAGAGCCGCTACAAACTTCTGGTCGTCCCAGGGAGCAGTGGGAAGGGGCAGCAGGGCGAGGCCTTGACACTCACGCGGAACGCCGGCCAAGTCGGCGTGCGAGTACCCGGCTCCTCCCGCTCCGAAGAAGCCCGCTAACCCGCCGGGGGTTTTGTTGCCGCTTCCGCCGCCACCCTCCATGGCGTCGCAGCCAAGCGCGTGTGGGCGCCCCACCACCACCACCTCGGGCCGGGGTCGGTGTGCGCGGCCGTGGTCCACACAGCAACGGCGGGAAGACCCGCGCTGCGGCCGCCACCTTCACACGCTGACCTTCCGGGCGCCGGCTCCCGTTAAGCAGCGCACTTCCGCTTTGCGGCCGCGTACGGCCCGGAAGTCCGGAGCGCGGGACCGACTGCTTTCCGGTGGTGGGGAAAGGGAGCCGGAGCCGGAGCCCGAGCCCGAGTGGAAGCGGCGCGTCCGGGGCCAGGTGGGCTCCCTGCGGCCGAGCGGAGGCAAGCGGCTGCGCCGGGAGGGTCTGGCTCGGAGGCCCGAGGAGCAGCAGCAGCCGCCGCGGGAGCGGGCCGCCGCAGCGCGGGAATGGTGCGGGGGGCGCCCGGAAGGAGGCGCAGTCCGGCCCCGGCGGGGTTAGTGGATGAGGCTCGCCGGCCCGGGGACGGTGCGCTGCGGGTCCCAGCATGAGCGCGGGCCCCGGCTGTGAGCCCTGCACCAAGCGGCCCCGCTGGAGTGCCGCTGGAACGTCTGCGCCGGCGGCCTCGGACCCCCGGAGCTTCCCCGGCAGACAGAGGCGCGTCCTCGACCCCAAGGACGCTCCCGCACAGTTCAGGGTCCCACCGTCCTCGCCAGCCTGCGTCCCGGGCCGGCCGGCACCGCGCAGAGGCAGCGCCACCTCGTTTGGTACGTGGGAAAATAAAAAGAAAAAAAAATCATCTTCGTCCTTGTATCAGTCTGAGGACCGTGGGACTCCACTCAACTCCAGTCTGATCACCACCCGGGTGACCCACCTCCCCCCTTGTTAAATCACTGGATGCCACCCGTAGGGGACAGGGGACAGTTTCTAGTGGCATCTGAGGTGAGGGAACTTCGGTGGACGGTTGCAAAGCGGGCGGATCTCACCGGTGTGCTCTCCTCAGCTTCGGAGAGAGAATTTGCCTTGTTAAGGAAGTCTGGTTGTGTGTGTGTATCGAGCAGAAAGGCGCTCCAGTCTCCAGAAGGTGCAGTGAGAGCTGTTGGAATTGACGCGGTCGGGTCCCGACTCCCCGAGTGCAGAGCTGTTAGTCTTAGCTTGCTGGCATTGTGCCTGCCCCTGGCACACGATGTTGAGTTACTTGTCCCTGCCTTCGAACCCTGAAATCTGCGAGAGACAGACAGACCATAGCACAAGTCCAGTGTGTGCAGCAAAGCCTGGCGGATTTTCTTGTTGGTGAGGGCGTGATTGTTTTGGTAGGCGTTAAGTGTACTTAACCTAGTTAGGAGATCCAAGTTAGTAGCCCGGAAGATTTGGTACTTACTGTGAATCCTAGAGACTGGCGCCGAGTAAAGTGGTATTTCAAAAGTATAGCTGGTGCGAAGAAAAAATGGTGGCATAGTGAGTGATGAGCTGTGGAGGAATAGGAAGAAATGATCCGACTGTGCTGAAGTGTAGACAGTACTGTGGTTATTACTAAGAACTGTGACCTTTATGTTTTCAGGGTACTTAGAGATCATTAAAGGGTTTTTAATATGTGTGTGGGGTAGGTTTAATTTGTTTCTCGAACCCTCCTCCGTATGGTTGGTTGGTGTATAGGAAATGGAGAGGAAAAGTTGGTTGAAACCCCAAGACTCAAGGAGCCGATCTGCACTTAGGCTTTGCAGGCAGTCGGGAGCAGAAGTGGACGGATTCTGCAGAGAATGCTGGCTTTGTTTGTACCTCAGAAGAAACACATCTGTGCTAGAAAAGAGTTCTTGGCATGAAAATGATAATGGAAGCTATAAGTGTAGTTTAGAGCATGCAAATATTTAGAGAAAGTAAAACCACCAGGGACAAAGCCTTTGGGCACACCAGCATTTTAGGGAACACCTGAGAGAAATACTCAGCGAGGAGGAGAAAAGCCTGTGTTCTTTCACCCAGAGCCAACAACATTGCCGAAAGAATGCAGTGGTCCACGGTGTAAGAGGCTGGGCAGAGATCAGGGCAAATAGTGCACACTTGTCTGTCTTGGGACCTCTAGGGAGTAGACTTGAGCCAAGTCTGGGTTTTTTGTTTGTTTGTTTGTTTGTTTGTTAGTTTTTTGAGACAAGAGTTCATTGTGGGGTCCTGGTTGGTCTGGTGCTCAGAGAGATCTGTTTGTCACTGCCTCCCAAATACAAAACTTAAGGATATTTAATCAGGTACATTCCTGCTTCTGGCTTGACCCACGTCTTGAAATAATAGGATCTCAGAATAAATGGAGAGGGGCAAATAATAATGTAGGTAGAAGGAAGGAACAGCACATCTAAACACTTCTAGAACTAGGACACAGGCCACAGAAGAGTTAGGTGAGCTTTACTGTGAACAAACCTGTGTCATTTTAAGGAATTTAAACTTGTCTCTATTTAATAGGCCTCCTGGAGGCTTTTAAGAAAAGGAATACATTTGGTTAATGTTTTAGGATGATGGGTTATCAGTAGCTTTTCAACTTTTTAAACTTCAGGCCGTGGTATAAATATTTTTCTAGTACACAGCAATCTCTGTAATGAATGAAAAAAAATAAAATGGAAAGGAGGGACATAACAGCTCCTAGGTATGGTGGAAGAGCAAGTTTATTGTAGATATGTGGAGAGCATAGTCTGAGGCAGAGACGTCTGGGAGAGTGGGAGAGTCCGGAGTGGACATGACCAGACTGCGCTGGCCCGTGTCAGGGAGGTAGAGGGGAAAGAGGGGAGCCAGGGGTAGCTGCTAGGAGGCCGGAGGTCCAAAAGGGGGGCGGGTAACCAAAATGTCTGAACTATATAGGGAAGAACCTCAGGGCAGCCCCGCCTCTGGGCTGCAGAGTTTAGAGTAGAGGGCAGGAATACAGTGTTTAAAACTTACGTTGGTGCATATGCCATGTTTATGATTGGAATATTTCATGAAATAACATCCTTACTATATGAAATATTCTTCCATTTTCCTCTCTCTCCCAGCTCAATACATTTGTATATTATCTGTTGTTTTGCTTAAAAAAAATGCTTGCCACTTTTAGTTTATAAAACTTTGGATTAAAGAAAGTCCAGATTGTAAACAGAGAGACCAGTTTGAGGAAATACAGACCAGGTGCCCAATAAGTGGAGTGCTTAAGGGTATAAAGAAGGGATGGGTTTTAAATTTGGGGTGTATATGTCAGAGAACTTGCTATAAAGAATAGGAACTGAAGATGAACTGTGGATGACTTTGCGCTCGCTGAGGGAGGTTAGGGCTACCACCCTCTTCTCATTAATTGGACCTTACATTTTCTGCCAAAGAGAAATGAAGTTAATATTCACATGGGTGGTTTTTTCTGTATACCTGCCATAGAGTGCCAGTGAACAGAATTTTTATCATTGAATTTTTTTCTGGAAGGTATTTAAGTTTTTTGCAAATAGGTATCCTAGAAGTGGGTAGAGAAATGCTTATTCAGTAGCTTTTTATCTTCATGGATACATTTCTTGTATTGAATGAAATCTGCAAATCTCTGCTTAGGCAGAGCTCATCGTGCTGGTCACATTTTGATGGCAAATGACTTACCCAGTTGTGTTGCTATAGGAAGTGAGGTGCTCCTTGAAGATGCAGATGAACTTTTACTGTATTGTATGCCCTTTGCTGTGTCTATTTTGCTAATTGGATGACCTCATTGAAGTCAATAGTTACTGCAAGATGAAAGTAAGTGTGAATGATGGGAAGTTAGTGTAAACTAGATCACTAACGTCGGTTATAAAAGAGATTGGATTTAAGTTAGAGTAAACTAGAATCACTAACGTCAGTTATAAAAGACATTGGACTTAAGTGTTGGGGGAGAATGTATTTGTGGAATAATTCTTTGTAGACTGAGCACAATGTTTTATTTTTGTGTTTATTTTGTTTTTTGTTTTTGTTTTAAGGTTTACTTATTTAATATGCATACAATTTTCTGTCTGTGTGTTTACTTGCAGGCCAGAAGAGGGCACCAGATCTCTTTACAGATGGTTGTGAGCCATCATGTGGTTGTTGGGAATTGAACTCAGAATCTCTGGAAAACCAGCCAGTGTTCTTAACCACTGAGCCACCTTTCCCAGCCCCCTTATTTTAGTGTTCTTACTGATATGTGTACCCCTCAGGAGCAGAAAATTGTATTTTCTAGGTAAAGAAAATGGGCTCAAAGAACTGAAGAAACTTGACCCAGATAATGCTGGGAGATCAGTTCTGGATAAAAGGGCTCATTGTCTATCTTTGTTGTCCTAGTTAGGGTTACTGTTGCTGTGATGAAACACCATAACCAAAAGCCAACTGGGGAGGAAAGTTTACATCACTTACACTTTCAAAGGAAGTCCGGGCAGGGGGCAGGAGCTGATGCAGAGGACATGGATGGGAGCTGCTTGCTGCCTTGCTCACCATGGCTTGCTCAGCCTGCTTTCTTAGAGAACCCAGGACCACCAGCCCAGGGACGGCCCCACCCACCATGGACTGAGCCCTCCCACATCAATCACTAATTAAGAAAATGCCCCCTACAGCCTATCGGGAGCATTTTCTTAGTTGGGGCTCCCTCCTTTCAGATGGCTCTAAGTTGTCTCATGTTAACATGAAACTAGCCAGCACATTTGTCTTTTTTTCCCTCTTGTTTGCTATGATTATTTCTAGTTAAATGAAAAATTCCCTGGAATCTTAGTAAGCAACTTTTTATGCTTCCTTAAGTAGTAAGATAGGGTTAGCTATTTTGTTTTGTGGGTTTTTTTTTGTTTGTTTGTTTTGTAGTTCTTTTGTTTGTTTTGTTGTTATTTCTCAAGACAGTTTCTTTTTTGTGGCCCTGGCTGTCCTGGAACTACTCTGTAGACCAGGCTGGCCTTGAACTCAGATCCGCCTGCCTCTGCCACCCGAGTGCTGGGATTACAGGTGTGTGCCATCACTTCCCTGCTTGGATTAAGCTCTTAACAGTCCTATAGTGTGTTGGAAACGAAACTTAGATGTCACTAGTAGTAGTATTGGAAAGAGTAAGGCAGTCCTTGTTCTAGGTTCAAACTAGGACCGGGGAAGTTTGATTAACAGGATACATTGTTACTTTCGCACCTGCCTTCTCCATTCTCCTTTTGTCGGGCTTCAGGAACCCTAATAGGAAGCATGAAGCTAGGAGGATACACTTTCCATATCTGCTTCAGGAGACAGACAGCCCTCTTGGGCTTCTCTGGAACAGGCCTCTGGGTTTTCCTCACTTGAAGTTCAGGTTCTATGAACTACTTCATGTGTACGAGAAGACTGTGTTAGACACTCTTCTACTGCTGGGAAGAGACACCATGACCAAGACAACTCTTATAAAGAAAGTATTTAATTGGGGGCTGCCTACAGCTTCCAAGGTTGAGCCCTTTATCAGCATGGCAGAGAGCATGGCACTGGACCGGTAGTTGAGTGTTGTATTCTGATCACAGACAGTTGGAGAAGCTGGGCTTGGAGGTGAGCTTTGAGGTTGCAAAAGCCCACCTCCAGTGACAAACTTCCTCTGACAGTGCCACGCCTACTCCAACAGGTTGCATTCCTAATTCTTCTAATCTTTCTCAAATAGCACCACTTCTGATGACTAAGCATACAAATTTATGAGAGTATGGTGCCCATTTTTATTCAGACCACCACAAAGAGCCTCGCTGTTGAAGCCACACATCGGATCCTAATATTACAGGAGAAGTTTTAAATCCAGACTGATTCCAAAAGTAGTGTTTCAGCACTTGGCAGGCTTGAACTCTGAGGGTTGTCTGAACCATGCTTTCTATGGGTTTTATAGGCTTAGTGTCCCATACCTGGAATGCTTGGGGCAGGAAGTGATTCAGATGGAGTTTTTCAGATTATAGGACGTTTGCATAGACCAAACTGTTTAATCTGATCTGAAGATTTTACAATCTGAAATGCTCTAGAATCAGCAGTGGGGCTCAGAAATTGGATATTGAAGATCAGGGACATTAAACCCATAAAATGGAGTTAAATAGGAAAGATATAGCAATAGAAAAAATTTCATCTTCAAATCATTTATTCTCTTGCTGACAGATACTAATTGTTTATTTGAAGCCTAAGTTGCTGAAGACATACAAAATAAGTCACAGACAGACTTACTTAAAAAGGAAGATTTATGTAAATTACTTTTTGTAAGAGAAACCGTTTAAAGACTTCTTACTAATCAGAGAGAGTTTATTAGTTAGACTTTTACTGTTTTGTGGAAAGTATCTGATACTTGAATACTTTTGTGGAAGAGAATTTATATGAAACTCAAATACTTGTATCTCACACCTGAAATGTCTTTCACTTATGTTCTGTTGTAATGATAGATAAGTTTATTTAGGCTTGCTTCTTTTTTGTTCATATTATGTTACTTAAGGTAAAATAGGAAACTAGGAATGGATCAATGACTTAAGTGTGCAGATTCTTAATATTTCAACTTAGAGAACTGCTAAGAATGTTTAAGATTTGATATTAAACTAGACACATTTAATTCATGTCCAGTGTATTAAAATTGAAAGTGCATACACTTCTTTCTAATAGTTATAAAAAAGTGATTTGCATTTATTTCCTGAACTAATCATTTTCATTTTTGCTGCTGGTCATATCTAGTCAGTCATTTCTTTGGCATCTCAAATTTAATATCTGTAGAATCAACCTAGATATACCCGCCACATATCTAATTCTCCTGTTTCCCATATTTCTACTCATTGTTGTGATATACCCACCACATATCTAATTCTCCTGTTTCCCATATCTCTACTCATTGTTGTGATATACCCGCCACATATCTAATTCTCCTGTTTCCCATATTTCTACTCATTGTTGTGATATACCCACCACATATCTAATTCTCCTGTTTCCCATATCTCTACTCATTGTTGTGATATACCCGCCACATATCTAATTCTCCTGTTTCCCATATTTCTACTCATTGTTGTGACGACCATTCAGGCCTTTGAAGCTTCGTAATTGAAGGCTGTGATGACAATGGCTTGGTTTTATTCATTTCATAAGGAATTATTTTGAACCTCATAATTCTTCAATCCAGTTGACTATTTAATTTTTTAAAGAATTTCAGCAGTTCTTCTCATTTTCCCCTCATACTCACATAGAGATTCTGATTTAGTAGCTGTGGGTTTGGCCCTAGGATCCATTGGTTGCTTCTCATGATCCACGTGGTTGGCAACCGCTGTCCCAGATCAGTAGCTTTCTCGCTGGTTTCTGTTGGTTAGCACTCCAAGAAGCCTCCAGGTTATCCGTCATGGATGACTGGGCTTGTTAGCTTTGAATTCTGAGATCATTCATGACTCTGAGTGTGACTTCTGACCGTCCTTTTGTATCTCTCTGGGTCATTCAGCGTACTCACTGTGATACGGTCTTAGATGACCTTTGAGTTATATATTCTATTCCTTTCTCAGTTCTTTATATCTCTTTGCCATTGGTGTTTTTGCTTAGGATTTTCCTCTTATGTCACTGCCTTTAATTTTCTAGGCAAAATTATAGCACTACCTCTTTCAAGAAATCTTGACTGGTTATTCCCACTTTTTCTTGTCCTAAAGTACCCCCCCCGAAATACCTTAATTCCTGATCAAGACCTCTTTTAATAATAACTGAGGAGTAACACTTTCTGAGCATCTACCACAGCTTTCTGATCTCTTGTGTAAAGTATTACTGACTTAAACGTCACGTTAGCTCCATGAACGGTGCTGTTCGTGTGCGTCCTTTCCGGGTGAAGAAGCTGAGGCAGAGAAGGGTGCTCTTTCACAGTCACAAAGGAAGCCAGTGAGGGTTTGAATCCAGTGTCCTGGGTCCAGAGCCTCTGATCTTAGACATTTGGCCCACAACTCTGTAGGGGACACTTTCAACTCTACTGTACATATCAGGTGTTCCTGTTTTATCTTTTCATACTTGAAGTCGAAAAGAGCAACTGCTCTTTGTTTAACCCACCAATGTTAGCAAAAGAAAGGTCTTATATGTATAATAGGCTGTAAATGTTTTCTATTTGAAAGAATTCATATGTATATATCTAACGTTTAATTTTAATGTTTTTATAGTTTTGAAACAAAAGACTATTACCACGTGGATGGATACTAAAGGAACCAAGACAACTGAGTCAGAAAGGTATAAAGACATTTCTATATGGAGAAATGAATAGCGAAATGGTGGGGTTGTTTTATCTTGATTTTTTGTTTTCATTTTTTTCTTCCTCAACTTTTTAAAGTTTAATTTTTATTTCTTTTTAGTTTTTAATACATAGAGGCCCTCATTTATTTGTGAGATACAGAGAAGAGAGTGAAATGTTTTCTGACTCTAAGATACTCCTATATGGTTGTGGTTACAGACACAACACATAATTACTGCTTCGTGAGGTAAATGCGTTATGAAGGAGAGAGCAAGTAAAGATATGAGTGGTGGCTGGCATATGGAAGAAACAAGTCGCCAGCCTTGCCTGGGCCTCAGGAACAAAGTCTGAGGCAGCTGGTAAGCCTACGATTTAAGAAAGATAGGTGTTTGCCAGGCACACGCCTGGGGAAGGGCATCGTGGGCACACGTGCACAAATGCAGGGCAGTGAAGTGATAGGCTGTGTTTAGCCATCACGAGAGCAGACCGTTCGCTGTGCTGTTGCTGAATAGTTTAATCTCTTTTTTTTGTAATAAATTGGTTTTAGTTCTTCTTGTTCTCTTACAGTAAAGAAAACAACAATACAAGGATAGACTCCATGATGAGTTCTCTGCAAAAAGATACCTTTTACCAACATAAGGTGGAAAAATTGGAAAATGCTCCTCTGCTAGATCTTGATAAGTCGCCCACTGAAAAGAACGCACAGTATTTGAACCAGCAGCAGAATGCGAGCACGTGCAAGTGGCCCGATGAGGGGCGGCAGGCACAACAGCTTTTGGCAAGTGAGCCTGCAACAGTAACTCCGGGGCCAGAGCAGCCTGGTAATGCTAACGTTGACCGGTCGGCCCACACTGACGCCCACAGTGACACAGAGAGTGAGGGGGATAGAGACAATCAGCACTTTCTCACGCCCGTGAGGCTGGCAAACACCAAGCAGACAGTGGGGGATGAGCCAGCCGGCAGCTGCAGGTGCAGCGGGTCTTGTCGCTCTCTGCAAGACTGCACAGGCTGTCAGCAGGAGGTGGATGTGCTACCGGAGAGCCCCTCGTCAGACGTGGGTGCTGAGGACATTGCAACTGAACCAAAGCCCGACAACAAAGTGACGAGACAAGAAAGTAGCCTAGGTGACTCCCCTCCGTTTGAGAAGGAAAGCGAACCCGATTCACCAATGGATGTAGATAATTCAAAAACCAGTTGTCAAGACTCAGAAGCAGAGGAAGAACCCAGCCCAGGCTTTGATGAACAAGAAGATAGCTCCTCCCAAACAGCAAGTCAGCTTTCAATTTGCCAAGCAAGAGAAGCCGACAGTGATCTTAGGAAACGGTATTTGACTAAGGGAAGGGAAATTAGATTACACTTCCAATTTGAAGGAGAGACTCATGCTGGAACCAGTGATTTAAATGCCAAGCCATCTGGAAACACTTCCAGCCTTAATGTAGAATGTAGGAGTTCCAAGCAGCATGGAAAAAGAGATTCTAAAATCACAGATCATTTCATGAGAATTCCCAAATCAGAGGACAGAAGGTAACCCTCGCTTTTTTCCTGTTAAGGAGTATCCCTCCAATAACACGATACATTTTTAAATGTTGTAGAGGGAATTAAGAAAGTAATTATTTACGGTAAATTAAAAAATTGCCTTTTGATTAACTATTCATAATAGATTTCAAAGTAGCGATACTAAAAAGGCCAGAAGCAGGAAACAAGAGGAGATATGTATTGGTAGTCAGTTTTAGTTGCATGAACTTTCTTATGGAATTTATGGAAACTGTTAGTTGAGAATATTTGATCGCTGTTATTTAACATGTGTATTTTTATATAACCCAGGCTCACTTGCCTGTATCACCTCAGAATGTCTAAAACCAATCTCACTTTTTGTTAAACTCTGGTGAAATGCACATAACTGTGACATTAAGGGTTATATAAAATAACACTCTATTTTATGAAGGAGAAGAAAGCTGAGGCTTGGGTTCAAAGCTCACTGAAGCCCTGTAGCGTCTGCTTCATGTGTGTTTGAGTACAAGCTTGCATTTCTGCCATTATTTCATGAGGAATTTTAAACCCTGCTCAGTTTTCCCAGATGTGTTTTGTAGCTTATGATCCTAAGTTTACTTTGTTGAGATGGTTATGTGAAGATGAGACGGGTAACTGATTATATGATGTGTTTCACCTCCATTTTTAAAGGAGATTTGGATGTTACAAGGTTCCTTCTCTAGGCTATTGGAAACAAGCTCTTGGGTTTTAATACAAGGCTTTTAAGTCATCCTTATAAAGCAAATGGGGCACACTTTAGATAGTATTCTTGATAAGTTTTGTGCTTGTGTATCTAAGAAAACTGAAACAGTAAATAATTTGTGACTGAATGTATTTTTCTTGACCTTAGAAAGGAACAATGTGAAGCCAGACATCAAAGAACAGAAAGGAAGATCCCTAAGTACGTCCCAGCTCACCTTCCTCCCGATAAGAAGTGGCTCGGAACTCCTATTGAGGAAATGAGGACAATGCCTCGGTGTGGGGTCCGCTTGCCTCTCCTAAGACCGTCTGCTAACCACACAGTGACTATTCGGGTGGGTATTGCCTCTTTCCATTTCTTTTCTTTCCGGTTGGTTGTATTTTTGGACTACCCACTACGTGTTAGGTATTGTTATTTTGTAAAATAAAAAAGTTCAAAATTGTTTATGGCTTAGTACATTCTCCATCTTGGTTTGTTCCTCAGATCCTTCTGGTCATTCTCTTGTACCACCGCAGAGGTACTTAGACTCAGAATGTCTAAAACCAATCGCACTTTTTGTTAAATTGTGGTGAAATGCACATAACACAATGTTACCACTGTGACATTAAGGGTATTGACAGTGTTGTACAACCATCACTGATGCTCATTCCCAGAACTTTTCATCTTCCCAAAGGAAATTCTTAGTCTATAAAGCAATGACTCCTCATCCCCTGCTTTCCATAGCTCTACTTTTTCATTTTCCCCCAGAACCTTTGATTTCCTAGGATCTCCATTGTAGCTTTAGGTTCATTATCTTCATGCACACACAGCCTAGAGGAAGCTCGGGGGAACTCTGACCTTGTCACATACTGCTTGGTTTTCTAGACTCTTCTTTGAAAATTCCTCAGAAACCTAGCATAACTATAACTTGCATAGTACATGCATGTAAAGTCAAAATCATGGACAGTGCCGAGGTCCGTTGCTGCTGAGAGCTGCATGGGATTATCCTGAGCTATATTTAGCAGCTTTAAATCCTCTGACTTAACAAAGGAAAGCAATTCCCTAGTGACCTTGAGCAGGCAGGAACTCTAGGTCTCCCTTCTCCAGAGACTGTCTTGGAAAGTTTTAAAACAAACCCTCTGTTGTTGGTTTTTGGTTTTTGGTTTGGTTTGATTCAGGTTGTGTGTGTGGTATGTGTGTGTTTGGTTTTGGGTTTTGGGTTTTTTTTTTCATCTTTGAGCGTGTGGTAGATGAGATCTTGACTGGGTAAGGCTTTACAGTTTTTGGGAAGCCCTTGAGTATCTTTCTTATTGTCCAAGTACAAAGTACTTGTCCTCTTTTTAGTGGTGATACTCACTGTAGCAACAATACTCTCCTGTCCCCAACCTTGCATGTGCTTTTTTACCTAAACTTAGCTTTTCACATCTTTTTGTTCTCTAGCCTTACTGTAAGTGTGGTTAAAGGCAGCCAGCATTACTCATGCCACAGCCTCATTGTTCTGCTGCCTTAAAGTTTCTCTCATCATTTGTTTTTTTGGTTTTGGTTTTGGTTGTTGTTGAGACAGGGTTTCTCTCTGTAGCCTTGACTATTTTGGAACTCAGGCTGGTCTCGAACTTACGAAGATCCACCTGCCTCTGCCTCCCAAGTGCTTTGATTAAAGGCATGCGCCACCACACCTGACCTTCTCTCTTCATTTGATAAATCAGGTCTTGCCATTTTAAAACCCAGTCTCAAAGAAAGTCTTACACAGATGAAATATAGACAAGTCATGAATGAAACCCAAATGACTTGTAGTCTAATTGCAGTAGAGTCATTATTTCTATCTGAAACCTCATCAGTACAGCTGTTGCTGCCCCCATTCCTGTCAGAGTTCTGTCTTCTGAACTATCAGACTCACCTCTAAGCCCTCTTTATTTAATTCTAAGTTCTCCAAACTTTGCCCATAAACCAATTCAAAAAGTGTCTGAAACACATCATGAGATAATGCATTTCTTGGTACCAGTTTTCGTTTGTGGTCAAATTCCTGTGAGTCTGACAAAATACTTGAGATAATAAACTCTTAGGAAGCAGGATTTATTTTGGCTTGGGGTTTCAGAGGCCTCAGTGTGATTGCTTTTGTCTGTGGCTGTATAGTGGATCACAGCAAGAGAGCACAGTGGAGGAGACTTGGTATCCTGGAAGCAGAGAAGAGAGAGGATGAGGTCAGAGACTTGCTTCCATTGTGACTGGTACCAAAGGTCCATCACCTTCCATAGTACCAGGACTGGGTACTCCGCCTTTAACACATGGTCCTTTGGATGGTGCTCCAGATCAAAGCGAACAGAAGTAATATCATGTGAGCACTGCCCTTCGCCCCAGCTAGCTTCTTTTTCTTCCTTAGAGTTCAGCTGTACTGCCACCTCCTCAAGGAAGTCTTTCAGCTCACCTGATTGCGTCTTTCTAGATTAGGTCTTTATAATACCGCATGCCTCTCATTTGTAGCATATTATACTTTAAAAAGTATATTACAGCTGGGCGGTGGTGGCGCACGCCTTTAATCCCAGCACTCGGGAGGCAGAGGCAGGCGGATCTCTATGAGTTCGAGGCTGGCCTGGACTGACAGCCTCCAAAACAATACAGAGAAACCCTGTCTCGTAAAACCAAAAAAATAAAATAAAAAGTATATTACGTGATTATTTTCTGCAGTGACGTAGGATACCATTTGGGTGAACCTTGAAAACATTCTGATAAGTGAAGATGAAAGACCCAAAAACTACATGCTGCATCATTCCATTTATTTGAAATACCTAGAATAGACAAGATGAAAACCTTACATTTTTCCTCACAGATTTGATTAGTTCTTATTGTGATAGCTCTGTGTATGCTTACAGTGCACTCATATACACATCTATGTGCATGCCAAGTTCTATGTTAGAATTAAAATAGATATTCCTCAAGAAATTTAATTTTAAAGAAGTGAAAAGGCTGTGTCGGGCTAAAGAGATGGCTCAGTTGGTAAAGTGCCCGGCACAGACGCGTGGAGACCTGTGTTTGGGTCTCCAGCACTCGTGTGAAAGCCCGGTGAGGGTTAGAGAGATGTTCAGCAACTGCGAGCGCTGCTGCTCTTACAGAGGACCTCAGTTTGGTTCCCAGCCCCGCACTGGGACGCTCACAACACATCTAACTCCAGTTCTGGGGATCTGACAGCCTCCTCTGACCTCCATAAGCACTCTTAGACATTTGGCATATAGACACAGACATGTACACAGAAATGAACGTACAAGTAAATTTTAAAGAACAAAGTTTGGTGGCACAGTGCTTACCTGCAATCCTAACCATGGTGGTAGGCGTGGGGATGGGAGAAGGGGTGGAGGACACAGGAGGATCCCTGGGGATAACTGGCTAGTCAACTATTCTAGCCAGATCAGTGAGCCCCAATTCAGTGAGACACTCTGTCTCAAAAACAATTAAGGTGGATGGCCTACGAGATGGCCCAGCAGGTAATGGTGCTTGCCTTGCAAGCCTGACAACCTGCCTGCCTTTGATCCTCAAAACCAATGTAAATAGCTGGGTGGTTGTGGGTCACACCTTATCTCCCAGCACTTGGGAGGCCAAAATGGGCGGATCTCTGTGTTCGAAGCCAGCCTGGTCTACAAAGTGAGTTCCAGGACAGGCTCTAAAGCTATACAGAGAAACGCTGTCTTGAAAAAAGAAATGTAAGTAAAGTTTCCTTTGATCTCTACACTCACTTGTGGGTGGCACATGTGTACACGTGTACGTATATCATGCACATACACACACAGTTCTAATTATAAAGTGGATGGTGTTAGAGGAAGGTACTTCATATTGGCTTGTGGCCTCTAGCCCTTACATACATGTGCATATTTCTGCACGTGCAATCTGTACCTGTGTAAACACACATGCACACTCACCAAAAAGAAAAGTGGTATCCAGTATGATAATAGCCCAATAAAGAACTATACTAACTGCTTATCGAAAAGTTTCTAAAGACTTCACAGTTTTTAGTGGTGAAGAAAATGAAAGTGAAAATTCAGGTTTAAATCGATAAAGGAAAAGTAAAGCTAATAACTGCTATTAACTAACTAAGAGAAGATAGTATATACACAAACCTGTGATGTGAAAGAATTTGTTATGTTTCTACACTTGGGAGTTTTCTGACTTTTCTAAAATGAATGGTGTTTGGGTAAGAGCGTGGGCAAAAGGAGATAGGAAGCTGTCAGCGGAAGCCGGAAGCTTGGGCAAGCAGTGAGGAGGTATTGGCAGGGTCCAACAATGCAGCTAAAAGTGAGAAGTCGGGTGTGGCCGCAGCTTAAGAGGGGTTTGTGAGGTTTCTGGCCTGGGAGCTGGTCTGGACTCTGCAGCATTTGCATAGGTTGCATTGTTAGCATTGTTTTGTAGGAGGCTTAGTTCTTATGCACTTAGGTTTTCCTATGGACTGTATTTCAGGTAGACCTTCTGCGAGCAGGAGATGTTCCGAAACCTTTTCCAACACATTATAAAGATCTGTGGGATAACAAGCATGTTAAAATGCCCTGTTCTGAACAAAACTTGTATCCTGTGGAAGATGAGGTAAATATAAAATTGGAAGTGTTTTAGTCCCTGGGTCATGGGTTAGCACTTGTTTGGCTTTTGAATTTGTGATGTGAAACAACTTAAAATGCTTTGATCTTGCCTTTTTTTCCCCCTGTAAGAACGGTGAGAGAACTGCAGGGAGTCGGTGGGAGCTCATTCAGACTGCACTTCTCAACAGATTCACGCGACCCCAGAACCTGAAGGTATGTTCTTTTCCAAAGCTGTCTCCTGCAGGGCTCTGAGAGGTAGGTCCTGTGTTGTATCCCTCAAAGACTTTTTTGATCATAACAGCCTAGGCCCAGATGACAGCCATCTTCCTATGCTGGGTTTGTTTCCTATCACTTATGAAGGCTCTTTAGAAAAATTCAGGGTTTCCACAGTCACTAGTAATAAATAGAGTTGTAAATGACTTGCCTAGAGCTACATAGAATGATTTGGTAAACCAGCAATAAGACTTCAGTTTCTTGCCTCTCTGTCCAATTTCCTTCAGTTTAGGGCTCTTTTTTTTGTTTGTTTTAAAATTATCATACTTTTACAGTGTATTTAATAGGGAATCAAGAAAGAAATATGACCTCAGCGCTTTTTGCCTAAAGGAAAACTGAGCCTGCCAATGATTAAAATACACATTAAATATTCTATTTTTATTTCCCTTGTTACTTTAGGAGTTTAATTATTTATTAATCTTACATATGAGCAGTAATTTGATTTTTTTATTTAAAAATTTTTTATTTAAGAGCATAGAGTAATCATTAGATTTTCCCCCCTAAATATCTACAGTATGTATGAACGTGAATATTTTGTTAGAGAATTATAGACAGACGTAATGCTTATGTAAGGAGTAGCACGGGTGTCTGTTCTTTACAAAAATGCTGTTGTCCATTTCCTTTCAGAGGCTTCATTTGGTATGGACACTTTCTGAGGTCCATGCTTTCTACCAAGTTAATTGTAAACTTGTTATCCTCTCTGTGGGTTTTTTCCCTGTTTTCTTTACATGAAAAATGTTGATATGTGTACAAGTATGTATTTCGAACATTTTATCTCTTTCAAACTGAGAATTTTTAAAAATATTATGTACAGAAAAATAATTACTTTGTATTTCATCGTTCTCCTATTATAGTCAAAAACAATTGATGGATGCAAGGTTGTGATCTTTTTGCTGATTAACTTGCAAATTCATTTTTTTGATCAACTTGCAAATAGACATGATAGTGACCACTTTGATCCAGATCCTTAGGGTTCCAGTGTCCTGCTGCATGGATTATTAGGATTGTTTCATCTGTTTAAAGTGCCACTTTCATGCGTATTGTGTTTGGGTCTGTGTCGTCAGCCCAGGCTCGTGCACTTGCAGACACTTTCTGAGGACACTGCCCAAGCACCAGGTGAAAAACACTGGTTAGGTTCTTTTTGTCCTTGTGATGGACTTACTTTTTACTTACAATGTCTAGAATTTTCTCTTTGAGCACACAGAATAATTAGAGCACTCTGAATTAGTCTGCTTGTCTCTTTGGCAGTTCCTCGGCACACCTTGGTTACTGTAGGGAGGGGCAGTTGCTTTAATGGACATTCCCTTTAGTTTTATCTTATCAACAGAGCGAGGTGGTCTGCCAAGATTGTGATTCGTTTGTTCAAAGAGTGATCCCTGAAAGGAAGAAGTAAAGATTAAGCCTTGTGATTGCTATAATCTTTTTGCTGTTATTCATTCAGTGGTGGATTTGGGGGAGTTCAGATAGTCAAAGTTTAAAAGAGAAGCAGTATCCTCAGTACTATTTCTGTTAATAGTGTGTGGGATAATTTGCCCAGATAGGTCCTGTGTTTATTATTGTGAGCTAAAAAGAAATCACGTAGGTGATGGCTCACTGCAAACTAACAGCCTAATGAAGAACTTGTGGTAGATACATTTAGGATTGAGGACTAGCGTCACAGTAAACCCATCCAGGCACACATTAGTTTCCCAGATGGGAAGATGACCATCTATCTAAGGTCCTCCTGGGATTTTACCGGCTGTGGTCTGAAAAATAGCAAATCTGTGAGTTGAGCATGGCAGCACTTGAGGTGGGGCTAATCCCAGCACGCAGGCGTTATCGATATGAAGTTTGCTGTGATGTTTGAGACTGATGTGAGCCGCATTTCCAGGCTAGCCTGAACCACAGTGTGAGACCCTGCCTCATAAAAAAAGAGAAAAGAAAATTGTGGCTATTAAAATTGCTCAGGCTTTTGTTGTTGTTGTTGAAGGTACTTCTTAAGCAATAGAGTATAGCTATCTATATAGCATTTACATTGATTTAGCAATTTTAAGTAAACCAAGAATACAGGAGGGTGTGGCTAATTATATGCAAATACTATGACACTTATATAAGAGAGTTAAGTATACTCCAATTTAGGCATTCTGAAGGAGGCTTGAATCAATCTTTCAATAGAGTTATTATGTAACAACTTTTTTGGGGTTAATCTAATTATAAAATTTGGTGAAGAAATTAGAAAATAACTGCTGTTTTGAAAGTTTTTCTTAACCTTGAGGGGTCATAATTTGATAAATATTGACATTTGTATATATTGTTGAAGTCTCCACCAACCAAGATACTTACCATTTCTGTCATCACCAAAGATTCTCCTTGCCCCTTTATAATTCCTTTTGCCTTTTGCTCTGACCTCAAAGAGTTTGCTATTTTTACGCTATTGATTGGTTTATAATTTACGAGAGGAGCCTCATGTGCTGTAGTACTTGATTTAAACGATGAGTTTTGAGATTCACCTATGTGATTAAGTATATGTATACGTCATTCGTCCATTTATTTATTTATAAACATTGCTATTTACTATGTCATACGTCATTTTGAAACCAAATGCCAAAGACAAGAAATAATTCTTTAAACATCTTTTAACTCTTAAATGTTATTTTATGGTTTATGAGAGGAAAATAAAGGCTTTTACTTCTTATTCTATGGTTAATGTGTTTTTCTTTTCTGAAGGAACTTGAATATCCCTTGATTCCAAGTAAATATGGTATATTTTTGTAGGTTCAGGCTTTAATGTAGGTACTTGTCCATTGTGTAACATCAGGTATTTTCCAGGGAGCTTTTCATAAATCTTTTTAGTGATAAAACAATTTGGAATCTTTAGTAATAATTTAACACAGTGGTTTTTAGAATTGTATATTCCTTCAGAAAAAATATTAAATTATCTAAGTAATTATTTATAAAGTCTACCTACTAATTTATTAATGATACAAAATATAATGAAGTAGATGTTTAAAAGAATGGGATAAGATCTAACCATAAATAATAGTTTCTTCTGTGCAACTAATGGATTGCTTTATGAGTATCTTAGCTGTGGAAACCCAGTATATACTATTATTTACTCAGATGGTGAAAACTTAACCCAGTAGATGGCATAGTTTGACTTGCCATGCCATGTAAGTATGTAACTGGTGTGAGCTGCAAGGCTTTGTACCACCATACACAGCTACTTACAGCTGCGGTTGGTCTCTTGGATAAGGTAAAAGAGTGCTTACTTCTTTGGCTATAAAATAATTAAACTCTGTAAGAGAGTTTGAGAAAAGTATACATAAAATGTCTGTACTAACAAAGTTATATTTTGTATTTTATAAAAATAGTGAGTAATAGGGGATAGAGAGGTGGCTGGGTCAGTAAAGTGCTCATGGAGACCTGAATTTGGATCCCCAGCACCCATTTTAAAAAGCTGAGAGTGTTGTTGTCTATAACTCCAGTGCTTCGGGAGATGGAGACATGCAGATCCCGGAGCTTTCTGGCCAGCTAGTCTAGTCAGTTAGTTCTCAATTACAAGAGACCCTGGCTCAAAAAATAAAGCGAAGAAGAACTGAGAAAGATACTGAACACGAAACCCTGGCCTCTGCACATATTCGCACATACTTATACTCTCATGAGCAGGACATAACGAATACACAACTGTCTATACACACACACACACACACACAGCAGCCAAAAGTGAGGGGAAATACCATTTTGTCCTTTAAAACACTGTTCTTCAGTCTTCATCTTTTAAACATTTTCTTCCTTTATATCCTCCCTGTGGTATTTTAGTACTGCAAGTAACTGTATATCTCTGTATGAGAATTATGTAAATGCATAATATATATATATAAAACTGTGTGTGATGTTACTATGTATCTTGTATACATTTATGTGTGTGTACAAAGAGAAACAAATAACCCATAATATATACATGTGATGTCAACCACAAACCATTGTAATCTATTTTTTTAATCTGTTAAGGTTTGTCTGATTTTGTCTAATAGGAGTACACTGTCCCCATTTAGAATGCATACTTTACGGTAATTATGTTTCCCTTCCATTGTTTAACATACCTAATCTCATTTTTCTTACGTGAATAATAAATTAGTGTGCATTCTGTTTGTCCATAGCTACTAATGTGGAATAGTTAATGTCAGAAGGAAGCTTGTTTAGCATTAAGAAATTTACTGGAAGCAGTTTGTAAAAGATAACTTACCTGACTATGTCATGAGATTTTTGTTTCTCTTTTTCCATAGGATGCTATTCTGAAATACAATGTGGCATATTCTAAGAAATGGGACTTTACAGCTTTGATTGATTTCTGGGATAAGGTAAAATACTAGTATGCTTATTTCTTTGGCTGTGAAATGAAACTACCAACAAAATTTTATTTTAATGGTCTTGATTTAATGCTTGATTTAGGTAGATAATTTGGGACTGAAATTGAATTTTGTTTTATTCCCTTGTTACAGAATTTTTCTTACATTGTTAATACTATTATCACCAATATCAATGTATATATCTATTCCATGACTAGATATTTTCCCTTATCTGGATTTTTAGACAGTGTCTCAAAATTTTTTAGCCTAGGCCGCCCTCAAATTCCTGACAGTCCTGCCTTGTTTCCTGAATGCTGGGATCACAAATATGAATTACCATAAAGGTATCATGACTTGATATATAAAACCACTATTATGCAAATATGTAGGTCATCAAATTTTACCTTGTTATCATCTAATTACACAGTATTGTGCTTCTACTGTATATGTGTGTATGATTATGTGTGTGTATACATACATACACACACACATATACATACACATATACACACATACATACATACATATTCCCTTAGTTTAAATTGCTTCTTTAGATAATCCCAGAAATTAGGTGTTGAGGTGAAAAGATACCATAGCACACATTTCTTGCTATTCTGCATATGTGCTATAAAGTAACTTTCTGAAGCTGCTGTGACTCTGTGCCCTCACTGTGGTCAGAGCGTCACTGTAGAACTCCTAAAGCATCGCCATCATCAAGATAAGTAGTAACGTCTCCCTGTAAAGACGTCAAGAGACTTTAAATATGCATTTTGGAGAGAGGTTTGATGGTGCATGCTTATCACCCTAGCACTAAAGAGGCTGAGGCAGGAGGATTATCTGTTGAGGGCAGCCTGGGTGTGCATAAAGAGATCTACATGATCCTGAACTATGCAGTAATGAATGGTAATATAAGACATTTGGGTGGTTTCTAATTTTTTAAAGTTGCTTGAACTTTGTACTCATTTTTGCATGAACACGCATGAGCTTTTGTTGCCTTGAGGTAACTATCCCAAAGTACAGTTGCTAAGATGTTTTTAAGTGTATTTTTTAGTTTTAGAAGAAACTGCCAAACTACTTACCAAAAAGAGCTGTCCCAAACAATGGTAATATACTTTTGCTAAGTAATTAAGTTCCTAGCCAAGAATAGATACTTGTATTTAAAACTCCTATACAATTTGAGTTGTTTGCATTTCTCGTGTTATTTTGAATCCTTTCAATTATTTATGCTTCATTTGCTAATAATAGAAACAAAATTCTTCTTAAAACATAAATTAAAATGTTTACTATTCCACAGTTTGATTATGTAAGAGAATAGTTGTTAAGCTATGAATGTAGGCTATGTTGTTTCTTCATGTTAGAGTCTTTTCTTCCCTAACTATCTTTCAGGTAAATAATTTTGAGGTAATTGAAATCATTATTCTTTTCCCATTTCACAAATGAGTTGCTGTGATTTCAAGATGGCCTTGTTGGTCCCGGGTGGGAACGGTCTAGCCCAGTCACATGGAGTGGTCCCATGATTTCTCTCTGCACAGCTTGCCCGCTGCTGGATGCCTCATCTTCTAAGCAACTGACATAGTCCCTTCTACCACTCTTTTAAAATCCTGTTCCTCCAGACTTAGACTTTTCTGCAAACCCCCTCCAAATTGAGGTCACACCACCTTTCTTTACTATTTCTATTCCAGGTGCCTTAATTTAACTCTTGGAACTCTCTTAACTTTATTTTTTGATTCTTGGCATCATCTAGCAGACTAAAGCATTCCAGGTAGAGACTTGAAGGTCTTGAGCTCTGTGTCCCCTGGAGTACTTGGTTCAGTGCCTTCTGTGTCTGTCGGGCACTCCCCATATCTGTGGTCTTGACTTTAGATGTGACCAGGCAGTCAGACCTGTTTTCAGGAGAACACTAGATGAAAAATCCTTCAAGTGAGTGAAGAGTGAGGTGTTTCTGATTTCTGTTACCAATCCCTTCCCAAGCACACAGCACCCTCAAATGCAGTGACCTCCTGTGACATTTCTGGCATTTCCTGTGACATTAATAGATTAAGAAACTCTGTTCTCTACGACCTCTGACAGTGATCCAGTTGAAAGTAGTTGACTACTTTGTCAGGGGCCAGGCAGGAATATTATTTAAACTTCATATTAATACTATATATTGATTGAGAGGAGCCCTGGAATATGAAGATGTGGCTGACGTGGGAGACCTTGCACTGCTGTCTCTATTTTCCAGAAGTGTTTAGTGGTCACAGCATCATTGTTAGACTGCGTGTTACACGTTTGTGCCTTCACATTTACTGTGTCTGGGTCATGGAGACCTTGTTAAACATAGAATGCTGCCCGCCGCCCTACGCACGGATCCAATTTAGAAACTTGGAGACTTAAAGCGGCATGTGTGTTGTCAGGTTTCAGAGGTCACATGACCTCCTGATGGCTTTGTAGTCTTAGACAGAGTATCTTACTCTTTTGCATGCAAGAGGTCAATAAGCGCTTTGATCACAGTGTTTGAAGGATCGAAGCTAAGTGTTATATCCAAAGCCACTCTTCAATTCAAGAGTGCTCGCAGGTTCACTCTGCACCTGGCTGCAGCTCCGGTCTCTGCTGTGGCTGCCTCTGCTATCAGGGCAACACAGCTTCCCGGGGACACTGGGCTTTAAAAGGAAGAAGAAATGAAAATTTCTAGAGAGTCAATCTAATGTTTTATTTAAAAAGAATTCTGTCTTAGGCCCATTGAATGTTTGTAGCTCCAAAGGACGCTGTAACAATAAGCAACATACTTACTGAAAGTAAAACTAAGTATTTATTGTAGAAATTACTCACAAGATACCAAACAAGTAACCCAGATGAGCCAAGTAGTTTTCCGCTGCCGAACCAGAATCCGAACTCCGGGAAAACAGACCGAGACTTCCTGTGTGCTGTCTTTTATGCCTTCCCCCGTAACGCCCCCTAGCCATGCCCAAAAGTGGGCCTGGCTAGTGACGTAGTTCACCGCCTATGTACGTATACGTCTTTACGCCCGGCTGTATAGGTCTTTAGTCATGCCTAAAGTGGGTGTGGTTAGCGGTGTGGTAAACCGCCCTTTTATTACCTCATCTGTATGCGCCTCTAGTAAGTCACATGTTTAATGGCGGCATACAGACTTCCTCCTACAAATGTTGATTTTTAATGTTTTTTTGTTTGTTTTTTGAGACAAGGTTTCTCTGTGTAACAGCCCTAGCTGGCCTGGAACTAGACCAGGCTGGCCTCGAACTCAAAGAGATGCACCAACCTCTGCCTCCCGAGTGCTGGGACTAAAGGCCTGGTGATTTTTTAATGTTTCAATATTTAAAAATGAACAAATAAATATGTTAATTTCTAAACTGTACATCATTGGCTATTTTAATAGGATAGATCCTAGCATATGATTATCAAGCCAAAGTGTATTATGATTTAAATGTGAAATGTCTGCATAGACCCATTTTGAACACTTGGTTCCTAGCTGGTAGTACTGTTTTGAGAGACGGAGGAACCTTCTGGGTGTGGAGCTGGCTGGCAGAGGTATGGCTTAGAGGCATGGAGACAGTCACAAGTCATGTTTTACACCTCTGTGGCCACAACTATGAGCTGATCTTGGCCATGCCTTTCCTGCCACAAGCCAAATTAAATCTTCCCTTAAGCTGTGTCTTCTTATGTATTTGATTTCAGTGTTGAGAAAAGTTAACTAATGCAGAACACTGACCCTAGGAACGGTGTCGTTGCTTCTATAAATCGGTCTGTGAGGCCGTTGGAACCTTTTGTAGGAGAAATGAAAAAGAGTTTGAAGCTGTGGGCTAGAGAAGCCCTGGCGTGTGTAAACTGCTCATTCCTCCCCGTGGTGGTGCAAAAGGTCAGCGTGCTGGTGGACATGCAGCCATGGGTTACAGAGGACAGGACTCTGGGAACCGGGCTAGAGATGCCGCTTGAATTAGATGCAGGCGGAGCAACTGACCGTAAAACGTTGTGTCCTGAAAACTGGGTGTAGACACTCAAAAATAATAGACTAAGAAATTTCAAGACAGCATAACATTCAGGTTGGCCTCTCTCTCTCTCTCTCTCTCTCTCTCTCTGTCTCTCTCTCTCTGTCTCTCTCTCTCTCTCTCTCTCTCTCTCTGTCTCTGTCTCTCTCTCTCTCTCTCTCTCTGTCTCTCTCTCTCTCTGTGTGTGTGTGTTGTGTGTATGTGTTGTGTGTGTGTGTGTGTGTTTGATAGGGCTTATAATGAAAATTCAAAGCAAAATGTGGAGCACAAAGATGTGAAAATTTTATAGGAAAAGAGTGAATTGGGTTAAAGTTGTAGAAGATAATGTGGAGTCTATATTGTTAAAGTTTTAGTATAATTAAGGACAGTTCATATTTAACAAATAGAAAAGATGCCTTGAAGGCAAGACCCCAGCTGCTATTGCTTCAACTTATAAAAATGCAAATTCATTTCAAAGTAGAATTCCTGAACAAAGAGAGTTTTCTGGGCATCCTGCTTGAGCAGGACTCCCCAGGGCCATATTTTCCTAGGTTCATCCAGAGAAGCATTCAAATGCCACTGCAACTTGTGGTCAAAGGGCGGTATTTTCTACATGGAGCTGCTTTTGCAGGCATGCAAGATGCAGAAGCAAGAGGGTTGTAGAGAGAAGGTTCAAGAAAGCCTGCTTACCTATCAACACGTGGCAGTCAGATTCCCTGTATGGATGTCTTGAACAGCCTGTATGTAGTGGAGGTATGTTGTAGATGCCAGGAATGGGAGACATCCATTTAGAAAAGCTATTGGCACTTCTGTGAGTCCAGAAGTGTTAGAGCCAAAGCCTGGGCACTGGTAGCACCGGCACCCCAGACTAGGCTAGTTACAGACAGTGAAAAGCAAAAACGAGGAAATATTCATTGTAGCCATATCAGGAAGAGGAACTAATAGAAGTTCAGTGACCTCCCCACCCCCCAAGTCCATCTTCAGGGTCCTGATGTAAGGTTTAGATTTAAGTAGAGGTCAAAAGGTGGGCATAATTAAAGCAGTCTG